CAGGAATGCTCCTATAACCTCCTACAGGCCAGCTCCTATGACAGGTGTCACTGTGGCCCCTTTAATACTTCAGAGAACGGCTCTGCAATTTTGGCGTGGCCGGGAATCAAACAGCGCACAGGCCATATACACTGGGGGCGTCTCCCCCAGTATCCTACACCACCAACCACACATGGCCCCCAGCCCCCTTGGCTCCACCAGCAGCACACAGCCCCCACAATCCTGAGGCTTTACGTGCCACACAGCAGTAGGAAAGGCAGCTGCAGGAGTCCTCACAAGCTGCATGTAGCATACGAACTGCCGGTTGGACACTCCTGATTTAGAGCATGCCCCATTTGGTACACACTAGACACCCTCTCCCCCCATCAGGAGTAGATTCCCCTGCTAGTGATGATTTAACTTCCACTTTGAGTAGCTCAGGGTCTGGTCCCACATACCTGTGGCCCTGGCCTCTTGCCATGATTGTTGTTCTGAACCATTGCAGGAACTGTTACTCCAGAGTAAGGTGGGGACTTTATTCTCAATCCACTCTGCTGGGGCTCAACCTTCACCTTCCAGAGCAGCTCTGTGCTGGCCAAGGTTTGCCTCAATGCATGTGTTTGCATGATAAGAGCCTTATCCCCTGCTTTAGAAAATTCCTTTGGCTGTTGCTCTAGAACCCATTGGTGCCCATTATTGTAGAAATCAATAGCAGTGGGTGCTGCAGAGCACTGAGATACAGTGCCACGATGGCAAGACACTGCAGTAACCAGCGCTCTGAACCTTTATGGGCAGAGGGGTTTCCCTCCAGAACGAAGTGTCTGTTTTTCCTGAATGCACTGAAAGAGCAATGGATTACAGACCTAGAATATGACGTGGGAAGGGCTGGCACTCTATATCAGTGTTTTTCAACCTGTGGGTTGCAACTCAAAAGTGGGTCGCAAGAATATATGAAAGGGCTTGCAAGCAAACGTTCAAAATGGATTCTCCTTTAAAGGAAAAAACCATGGGAAACCGTGGCTTTTCCCATGCAGGCTGGCAGAGTTCCAGCTTGCAGGGGGCTGCTTGGGGCCCCCCATAGCCCACATACGACCCCCCTGCCTTACACACTAGGCCCAGGAGCAGGGGGCAGTGGGTCAGGAGTGAGGGGCATTAGGTCAAGACTGGCTGTCGAAGTTTACAAATGGGTCCTGGTACAAAAAAGGTTGAGAACCACTGCTCTAGATGCCAGGTGATGCGGTAGAAGGGTAGCACAGTGCAGATCTAAAACAAGTGGCTGGCTGGTGCTCTCAAATGCAGACAGTGTTGCTCTGGAATAGTCAGCAGGATTCTCCCTCCGTACACCAGTGACAGGTTGCTTTAGGGCCCCATGGATGGGCAAGGTGGCTTGAGCTCTAGGTTGTAGAACATAGCTCCGGTGAGGGCTGTTCTGGACTGCAGAGGCCATCACTCAAGGCCATACCCTTGTTCTTTCCCTTCCCCCCTGGGAAGCCATGTGCTGAAGGTGTAGATCTTGGGGTGGGGGGTCACTCTAGATCTCATGGGTTGTGAGTGCTTTTTGGAGTGCATTGAGGTTGCTCTGCACCGTGGTAGAGGGGCAGCATGTTGAAGCTCTGGACTGTATGGTTGGGATGCCACTCTAAAACACGCAGGCTCTCTTTCTGGACTGTTGCAGGACCACTTTAGCATGTCAAGGCACAGGCCATTGCCCTGGGACAACTCCCCTCTAGAATAGTGCCCAGTGCTCCCCAGGCAGTGCTGTCCTGATAGCCCTGGCAGAGGCATCCTGCTCTGGTTCTTCCTCCTTCTGCTGGATGTTTCAGCACCAGCTGCCCCTTATCTTCAGGACAGGCTGAAGCAGTCAGGTCCTTCTGGGTTCACTCCAGTGCAGGGCTGTCTGGCTGCAGCAGGCTTGGAGTGCCTTGCTTGCTTGCTTTCGCCTTTTCATCCTCAGGCTCCAGGCTGAGCCACCACCCCCCCAGTCCACAGAGAAAGCAGTGCTGACATCAGCTCCCCACAGCAAC